CTCATGCCAGTCACCATTTATATCACCTTCACCTTCTTGATCTTTATCTCCTTCACCGTCACCATCTCCATCTCCATCTCCATCCCCATCACAATCACCTTCACTATCCCAATCATCGTCCCCATCCTCATCACCATCTTCATCTCCATCTCCATCTCTATGACCTTCACCATCCTCATCACCATCCCCATCTCCATTCTCACCCTCATCACCTATACTATTTCCATCTCCACCACCTTCACCATCCCCATCCCCATCCTGATCACCGCCAACACCATGATTATCATCATCATCACTGTCAACAAAATTGTTGTCGTCATCGGAAAACATCGTCGTCATTATCATTGTTCTTCTTCACCTCCTTTTCCTTCTCCTCCTCCTCCTCCCCGTCATCATTATCATCAACTAAGCATTATTTAATTGCTGTCTTCAGTAATCATTAGCATTATTCATTATTTACTCACGAGAATAGTTAAATGGCTGAACCACATTTCACTTTTCCTTCACAGAGGATGTAACTCCTCCTGTGTTAACATTTGTTAACGTTCCTTCTCGCTCTGGTAGTGACGTCATCATCACGTGGTCAGCAAATGAGAATGTTACGGCTCAGTGTACAGTCCAAACACCAACCCAGATCACAGCCCAACCGTGCAATATGTCGTGGAGTGGAACTAATCTTAGCGAAGGCTATCATAGCATTTACGTCCAACTGACCGACTCGGCGGGAAACACAGCGTCACCGTCCAGACACTCCTGGTTTGTAGGTAAGGCATAATACTGTAACGTCATTACAAGATTCAGACTTTTGAACTTCGGTGACTGATATTCTGCTTATACGAAATGGGCCATAATGTATAGGCTTGACGTATTTTAAAGGAAAGGTTTCAACACAGCATAAAACAGTCTTCCTAATAATATGAGGGAGCTTAAGCAATCACGGAAATGTCGACGTTTGTTTCTTTTCCAATTACACCAAACAGTAATATCAGATTGTCTAGAACTTATCGAGTAGAATTAATGTACAAGGACAACGTGATCATACCGGGAAACTAGCATAACAGCTTACTTCTATTGGACGTTAATATTGTATTATTCATACTTGAATTGTGTAGTTAAAGGGTAGTGCAGTAAAATTAGGACAAGCGACATGACCAGATGCAGTTAATGGAAACCGCGAAACGTCTACTAGATAAATATAGTCCATATGAAAAGTTCAAAAACCCTAGCCTAGTAAAAACTGAAGTGGCATTTCAACATTGCGTGAAGGGATGTTCTGGTTTTTGATCATGTCGGCTTTGATTTTCTGTTTCCTTCCCTCCTTTTCCGTTTAGATCGCACACCTCCTCAGGTGACCATCACCTCCAAACCAACTTCGCCAAGCAATCAAAACTCATTCACTTTTCGATTTTCCTGTGGAGGCACATGCTCTTTTCAGTGCAGTGTGGCACAGATGGGAAGCAGACCGGCTTTTACTCGGTGTAATTCAAATAGATACACGGCTAGCAGCCTTCAGAATGGACTGGTGTATGTGTTTCAAGTCCGTGGAACTGATGATGTAGGAAACCAAGGAAGTTCCGTGAATTACACTTGGAAAGTTGGTAAGCAGCCTGTTTAGTTTTTGATAATTTTTTGCAGTCCAGTGAAGGGACTGTTCATCTAAAGTTTAATCCATTTTGTTCAGTTTTATTTATTTATTTTTCCAAATTTAAAGTTGGAGAAGAAATTACTTCTGATGACAAAACTTGACGTTTATGGCATGAAAATAGGGGAGTGAGGGTGGGGGAGTTGTAAAAGCACTTGCCTGCTGCAGGGATGACCCACTTTTGTATCCAGAAAGTGACAACAAACGTGAGTTTGTTGTTGGTTCTCGCCCCTCTTCCGAGAGGTTTTTCTTCGGGAACACCGGTGTTCATCAGAAGTAATTTCTTTCCTAACGTTAAATTTGAAAATAGAAGATAAAAGCTTGGGGTGATTCAAGAGTGTACGAAAAGAAACATGACTGGTGTTTTTTGACCTTTGCAAAATTGACAGGATTTTAGCGGTTTTTAGGAAATATTTTCAATCCATTTTCATTTTGTCCATGTGTGCCCTTCTTTTTTTATAATTTTCTTTTATTTAAGGTTAATTCCCACGCCAAAGCGGCGATGTTTTATGTTTTACACAATTTGGTGGCCAGCATTCGGTTATGTTCTCCTCTAATCCTCCATAAGCTTAGCTAATTATAGTTATCGCGAGATTTTCCAGCGTTTTCGAAGATAGCCCTGTTCTGAACAACATTATTAGTAGTAATAAGAAAGCAGCTTTTATGTGGGAGGAACGACGTGAACCTTTTCTCTCTGTTTGTTGTTTAAGTAATGATCCGGGTAAGGTGGAAAGCAATTTCTTTTGTTATGCGGCAAGGGTGCTTTCCCCACATAGGAATTTTCTCATTTTTACACAGAGAATGCATAAACCTACATGAAGGCCGTTTACGCAATGAAATGCATTTACACTCCACTTTGAAAGGGTGTTTTTTTGTGTTAAAAGATTTTGACCAATCACAAGAGTTGAAAACGATAGCCAAGAAAAGTTTACAATTTTACATGTTCCCCACATAGGATTTCTTTGTTATTCAATGTGAGACCAGATTTTGTTATATGGAAGATGGTTGGAAAGTAAGGATGAATATATGTACTGCTTTATGGAGTTTTGTTAACTTTGCTGTTTAAGCCAATCAGAAGTAAGTACAGACAATAGAAAAGTTAGCACCTTTTTTCCATTCCATCATGTTCCTTGCCGTTGTTGCTATCGTTCTTATCTGGACCGTTTCTTAATAGATTTACAGCCACCGGCCATTTCAAGTATGACTGTACAAAGCGTAGATTGCACGTCAGATCTTAGTCCATCAGCTCTTGGAAAACCCTCTGTAAGTGACAATGAAGGGCCAAATATAACATTAACCTACACAGACATCCCTGGAGGAAGTTGCAGCTTTCAAAGGAAATGGACCGCAACAGATCTAGCAGGGAACAGCGCCTCTAAAATCCAGGTCATAAATCTTAGCAATCTACAAGCACCTACAGTGATTTATAATACGAATACCACCATCGCTTGCGGAAGTTTTGAGGAGCGGCAACAAGACATGCGCGAGGCAATCAACGTCACTCATCCCTGCAATCGACCAATCACAATAACGCACGTGGATTCCGTTGCTAGCATCGTTTGCGGTACAACGGTCACACGAACGTGGACGATAGCAGATGACTGTGGCAAGCAAGTGTCAATTGGCCAACGCATAAGAATTTTACCGCTTCAATTACCAGACTATCCAAAGAATGGTCAGGTTAATGTGGCATTGAGAGAAGCGCTGCGTTGGCCGCAATATCCAGGAGCTGTTAGATACAATGTTTACCTCTGGCGATACGGTGATGCAAAGCCCTCATCACCAACCACGTGGTAAGCTTGAAGTCCCCTTAGTGGCTAAAACTATTTTTTGTACTTCTTCAAACTCTGTTGCTGCGTTCTGGTTATTGTCTGTGAAGGGCGTTTTAAACCTCAGGCTCGGTTCACCGTTAGCAAGTTGGGGATTCTCAGTTAGTTATGCGGAAATAGGGAAATTTGATCGTTAACCTAATTTTCTTTCTCATTTTTAGGACCCGCTATTATCGATATTACAGCCCTTACGCAGGCTATCCAGCTGATAGTCGTTTACTATGGAGAATTGAATACGTTCTTAGCTCTGGTTCCTTGATTCCAAGTCCTGTCTGGGGATTCCAAACCAGGGCGTTTCCTGACTTTAAGGTAGAACAAGTCCTGGCACCACCAAATGCCTTCTCGGATCAAACATTCGAAGTGTCGTGGACTGTTCGAAATATTGGCAAAGTGGGCAATTTGTTGGTCACGTGGGTAGATGCTGTCTTTATTGGCAAAAGCGCTGACTTCCGCAGGGCAAGGTAATGTTACATTTGTGCTGAACTGGAAAGAACTGCATATTTAAGAGAAATATTGATTTATGATAAGAGGAACTTTAAAACTTCTCACTTGAAAGTTACGAAAACTTGGAGTCACCGACTTGTGTAAAATAGTGAGCAATTGGCATCCATCGTGTAAGAAAGATTCCGAAATGTACATCTGCATGAATAATCCTTAAAAATATTCCCAAACGCGAGTGGTAGTACATGGCAATAAGGCAATGCATAGATGCTGGCTACCTGAGATAGTTACGTCCTACGTTATCCTCAGGCACGTCATTCAAAGTTCTGTTTTGGGATTGGGGCGGGGGGGGGGGAAGGGTTGGAGTCTCCGACGTAATTTGACCCTGGTTTGTAACGTCTGCGAAGCGCCAAAAACCTTTTTTTGAACCCCTAACAGACTTACCGAATTTCCGGAAATGCGTTTCGAGTTTCCTTTCAACCTGATTGGCAAACCAACAATGGCTTTTTTAACGGGCCCAACATGGCGCGTACTCAAATCCTGGTGCCCAGATGGGGGCTTAGAACGAGAATTTTGGCGCTGTTTTGCAGACGGACTTAACTAGAGTTTAGTTTCGTCTGTGGTGTCCGTGATCAAGAAGGCTTGAGGCCAGAGTTACCAACCTTCTTTTCAGTTGTTTTCAGACACTGAGTATTGATTAGGGGTACGTTTTATAGTCCAGTAGCCAATCAAGTAAGCTGTGCGGTGAAGCAGTTCCTTACGATCATTCCGAAACGGTTTTCAGTTGAGAAATGTTTAGTTTGAATGGTTTCATCGTCTGATTTTCGTCTACAGATAGAAAGAGGCTTTGACAGATAGAAGCGCTTTGTTTACAGTTCAGGGTTTTCAATAAGCACCGACGGCCGATGAAACACGTCGGCTACTTTGCTCAGAGAAGTCAGCTACTTTTTTCTAGAAAGAACTGAGAAGCAACCAGTTTGAATGATGTCATAAACAAAAAAAGGGTTCATAAAATCTGAATGGACTGGTTTTACGTTATGCTTTAGTCATGTGAACGCTATATTTCAGTCAATTTTTCAGAAGTTTAT